TCGTGTTTGCCACCCCCCCCCCGGAAATCCAGAATTGTGGAAAAACTAGAAGGGCTCGAGGTAGGCCACAGGAGAAACCACACAACTGTGGCCTTGCGCTGGGCTTCTTTTGGGGTAAAGCAGTAAATCGACATCTGGACTGCATCACCTTGGAGGATCCTCAGGGCCTAGCACAGGGCAAGGCAAATCCTGCCTGCCCAGCCAATTCCCATTTATCTATCTTTTTAGGACCGCAAAAGCTTGATGTCCTGTTGGCTCCCCACCCGCAGCTCTGGAAGACTGCCAGCCCACTGATCCTTTTCTTTGCACTGTCTGTCTTCCATACTTGTCACCCACCGTCACACAACAGAAGCATTCAAACAGCAGGTTTATCCTAGTCTGTGAAAGAACTAGAAACACACTCATAGTTTGGTTATTTTTCACCCGGGGTTAGTCTTCTGGAACTTTATTAGAGTTAGGCAAACCCAGGCAGAGAGTAATCTACAGATTCCTGCATGTAGGAATCCCCTTATTCAATCGCACCCGACCAATGTCAAGTATCACTCTTTCCATTCTTCCTCTTACATGTGTCAGTTGTCATCAACGCTGGATAAAAGCATTCTCCATTCATTCAGTTGAACAAGGCCCTCCATGAATTGATTTATTTATTCATTAGAATGTCTAAGATGCCTAAGAGGAGAAAGTTGCAATTTCTTAGCTTCTTGCTTCGTTTTCATGTATTTTTTATTAAAAGTTTCAAAACAGGTGGGACCATAAAGTTGGCCTCTGACGCTCCATACAGGCAAAACCCTGTGTCAAACCCAATTCCTTCACAACCAGGCAAGATTTGACAGAACCCAGCACAAACCTATCCTGCGCCTTGAAACAATCTTTTTTAATGCTTCACAAAGATTCAACACATGGAGCTCCTGATAAACCCAGATCTTTGGATGGCAAGTGGGATGTTGCGCAGATCTATTCTGAAGAGTCTGCAGGAGCCCCAAATTTGGTGCCTGAAATGTTGCTAACCCCAGTGTAACCCTTCCCCCAACCAGCCTAACATATCTATCCTTTCCTTGCCCTACGTTAGAAAGATCACCTTATGTGCAAATCCTCTCAAACATTTTCCAAATGTCAGGACAACCAGAATGAGGCAAAAAAGCTCACATTTTAATCAGAAGGGAGAGCCCAGTCTTGTTTAAACCACTCAAACTCTAAGGTGAATGGGGAAGATCCTCTGGTGCCCCAGGCATGGCCTATACTCCATTCCATGGCCTGGCACTGCCCCTTCAAGCCGGGGCATATTCATTGCTGCAGCTGCTTGATGCCCTTGAGAGATTCTGTGCAGGAACGGATGAGCGAGCAAAGCTGGATGCTCATTTCAATGGAGGTACTTTCCTGGAGCTGTTGGCTCGCCCAGCTGATCTTCTCCAGAATGGCCTCCTCCGCTGCAGCCAGGGGGCTGACAGTCAACGGAGCAGCAGGCACGACAATGGATGCTGGAAGGGCTGGGGCAGGGGCAGATGCTCTGAGTCCTGAGGCTGCCCCTTCGCAGTGCTCTGGGCGTGGCACGTGGCGGGCCGTTGGCAGAGAGGACAGGTACTCAGGTGAAGGAACTTCATTGGAGTTAGCAGCCAGCTGTCGTTCCCGCACCTGGGAAAGAGCTGCCTGGGCATTGAGTGCTAGAGGGAGAGAGAGAGAGAGAACACAGAGGTAGGAACATGGGCTGGCTTCTGGGCTCAGCAACACACTGCTTGGGACAGCTGCTGAAATTCAGGGATGTTTTTGTGCACAATGGAAAAATCCATCTGGACTCTCCATCAGCAATTTAACACTGCCTCCGATCACGTGCAAAGCTTTTCCGTGGCAGAAAAGGGGGTCTTTCCCCCTCTCGCTTGCTCAGAAATCAACTGCTAATGTGAACAGCAAATAAAAAGTTGCACAAATACAAGAACACCTCGGTTGTCAGAGCACCACAAAGTGTGGAGCAGTTATATTTTAAGTGGCAATTGCACAAAACCTCCACCACACAGCCCCTTTTGTGTATGAACTGCATTTCACAGCTTATAATTTACTGATGCAGTAAATTAAGTTGAAGCTGCTCCCAACCAAAAGGAAGACCCCATTTATTTTGTGACACCCTCCCAGCTCATTCCAATTTCGTGCTGCAGAAGCGTAGAACAGCTCCCAGCATCTCAAATGAGCACAAGAGTTTTGGTTTGTTACACTGCAATACACTCAGAGAGGACCAAACTCCCTCTGCCCAGCGTACCTGGATTGTCCTTGTCAACATCAGAATTAAGCTCTTGGCAGGCGACACAGTACAGCTTCTTCTGCTTATCTTGCAGCAAAATGGTCTGGAAGGACAAGGCGGCCAAGGCAAAGGGGACGGGAGAAGAGAAGGGCGAAGTCAGAGCGTGTTTGCCAAAGCCATGCAATCGGCATGCAAGGGAGAGTGAAGAAAGACCCCCCCCTTCTTGCCTTGCTGGGGAACTCTTGGAGCGGAAGTCCACCCATCTTAAACTTGCCAAGGTTGAAAAACGCTGGTCTAGAAGCCGGTGGTGGAGGCAGGACTTTCCACCCCAGAGCTGCTGCGTGGAAGGAACACCTGCTCTTGGGCAGCACCGAGGAGTCCGGCACCTCGCCCGGCCTGTTTCAGCCCCGGATCTCGCCGAGCGGCCGCACCGCCCCTTTCCTCGGGCGGGACTCTTCGTTTGCCTCTTTCTCCTCTCTTCCGGCGGCTTCTGCCTTTGGCGACCGCCAGGCCACCCGGGGGCGAAGCAAGCCCCGCCCAGGCACCCGGGAGGCTACCCAGAGGCCTCCTTCCCGCCCGCTCGCCCTCTGCACTCCTGCGCTCCCGGGGCGGCCTCGCTCACCCCGCACTCCTCGCAACAGTCGCCCAGCATGCGGTAGCCCTTCAGCAGGTACTCGCTCATCAGCTTGCTGATCTTGTCTTGCCGCTCGCGCCGCGCCTGGATCACCTTCAGCTCCGCCTCGGAGGGCGGCTCCCACTCCGCGTCGTCGTGGCCTGCGCCGGAAAGGAAGAAGCCGAGGTAGGGGCGAGGCCCGGCGCGGGAGCGCGAGTCGCCCCCCTTCCCTTCCCCATGCTCCATCGCCTCTCGTCGGGACCCCGGGCCCGTTGCCGGGCCAGAGACTCATTGCCATGGCGACGCCTCGCCCTCCCCACTTTACCTGCCGCGTTCAGCGCCATGATTTTTTCCCCTCTGCCGCAACTTCCGGCGCTAGCCACGCCTCCCTCCGTCACTGGCGCAGGTACCGCCCACCTCCTGGTAGGACTTTCCTACGGAAGGGGGAAAAAAAAAATCCCTCGCCTTTCAACGTCCTCCGGCAACGCTGAAGGCCACACGAAGGTTCCGGGGAGCGTTTGTGCTCTTGTTCTCTACGGTCTGGGAAAGCTCGTAGAGCCCTTTCTTTGTTACAACGAAAGTCGTGATTCAGCCAGCTATTTGAATGCTGACAATCAGCATGGGCTAGGACTCAGATTCCAATTTTCCTTAGTCACAGAAGCTTTAAATCTAATAAACATAACCCAGGATGATTCTCTCTGGCAGATTCCTCTTCAGGCTGCCGGTCTATGGTGTCTAACTCCTATCAAGGAGAAGACTATTTTGTCCGGTGTTTGCGAGCACAGTTGCCGGGGGTTTCTCGCTGCAGCCCAGGTCTGAGAGAACCACCGGGAAAAACAAGGAAGAAGATACTGACAAGCTGAGGCTCTGTTGAGAAGCAGCCTTCAAAATGACCGCTGAATGCCCGGGAAAGGTCCGGAATGGCTGTAATCCCGTCCACCGAGGTGGGTGGTGAGAGACGGACTGCCTTAGGTCGGCACGGCTATCAGATACAAGAGGCGTTTCCCGGGTCGTGAAATGCAACGTCCCACATCCGTGGCTTGAGAATCAGGCTCTCCCAGCCCAGAAAGGGAGACCCCCCCCCGACAGCCCCCTTCAGCAGGCGGGGGGCGACGCCCACCAATCCTCCCACGCGGCGAGGCGGAGCGGGACCTTCTGCTCCGCGGCGGAAGTTACCCCGGGCGGGATGCCGAGACAACCCGCGAGCGATGCCTTTCGGGTCGCGGGGACTCTGCTCGAGCACCGGGCGCGGGCTCTTCTCGGCGCCTCCGCCAAACT